ATTCTTTTCTCTATCAGGCTTATATAGAAAGAAAGATTTTTAAAGCTTACTATATGGCTAAGTAACGCCGTGATCAGAACTTTTGGTACACCCTAAGTAAAATGATATCTCTGTAGAGTTGGATGTTGAAGCGGAATTGAATCGATTTCCGTTAGTTTGCGTCCTTGACTTTGCGTTAGTTAGAATTAGAGTAATTATCGCTGGCGGATACTTGTGAGCATTCGTGCCAGAGAAAGTTTTGATGCCGCATATGATGAAGATTTAGGTTTTTTCACTAGGCAATTTCATTTGGAAGTATTGATTTTTCTCCAAAATGTAAATAGATGGCGTTGAAAGACATACTAGAAGTGACAAATGTGTACTGCGTATCGTGTATTTGTAGGTTCTCGTGGTGTTTTCTTTTCGAGCATAAGGCGGCAGTACATACCTTATACATTGTGTGTTGATGATAGCGTTGAGATCTCAGGTTGTATAGAGGAAAGGAAACAATGAAATAGGAATATATTCTTTCATATAATCGGAATGTATAAGCTGTACCATAGCGGCAAAAATGAAGATCATGAAAAGTAAAGAATGAGGACATATCATTTTCCCCAATGGTGCAATTAGAGGAAGTGAAGGAAGGATTTGGGAATTTATTTTTTAGAAAAGATAGTAAGTTCATTGTTTTATGACTATAGTATGACGGATCATTCGTCAGTACATGGCAGGAATTAAGTCACTGTTTTTGCCAATACAATGGAATAAAAGTATGCATATACGTTATGAGAGTGGATTGGATTGGTTTTCATCGTGAGTAAAGACGAGTTTTCAAAAGTTTTAGAAATATTGAATGAACTGCTTTAATTGATTAGATGGCACCAGATGAGACGTGAAAGAATCAGATAGGTTAATATGGATAATTTTCCTCACGGTTCCTGAGATTGGTTGCTTTTTAAGAAGCTAGGATTGAGTAATTTATCTCATCATCCACGATCCTGAAATAATGACTCTTTCTGAAGAATATAGAAAGCGAAACCTGGCCATCAGAATCAGTTTCCATTTATCGAAGAATTTTTCAATAACATAGGAAACAATTTAACTCAGAAATCGGTCATCTAAAAGACAAGAAATAAAAAACGAAGATGATCAATTGGAGAAGTGCGAGATTAGATAAATTTATTCTTCGTTTATAATACTTTGACAATTATTCGCTTTACATCAAATATTCAAAGATATTCTTGACTATTTCCTATCATTCATGCAGCTGCGTATATGTCATGATTTCCTTCCGTCGAACTTGATGTAACATTTATTTCCAAAGATAATTATCTGTGCTTTTCTCTGTAGGTTTACCACCATACTTGGATATACAACCTGGTACGATCGTTGGCGTTTGGAATACATTTGCAGGTGATAATAATACATTAGCTATAGAAGGTACTACTGGTGCTGGAACTTATTTTACTGATCAGACTCCAGCTAATCTAATCGATCATAGTCTTGGCACAAGATACAGTAGTCGAGGTAGTCCTGGTTTCGGAAACAATTCATTAGCTGGACTCAATACAGGTTTTTATGCCACAGTTGCCCAATGCCAGCCAACATTGGAAGGATTTCGTTTGGGAAATTCTTATCCCTATTCTGATCGGGAGCCACTTACTGTAACAGTTGAAGGCACTAACTGTGATGATCTAGTCAACTGTGTCAATTGGTCATTACTCTACAATGGATCAACAGGCTTGTATATCCAAATGAATAATCTAGCATATGGTGATTATCAATCAATCTTCAATACTATTTCATATAAAAGCTATCGTTTTCTGATAACAAGCAAACGAAGCATAAGTGTATTTGTTAGTTATGGTGAAATACAACTCTTTGGCTATTCAACTCAAACTTCGACTAGTCAAAATGAAACATCTTCAAGTAATGTCAGGTCATTCTATTTACTCTTAAACGAATAATGCTTGATATAGTTTTCTCAGCAATATATCCAGTATAGTCGAAAATGAATGTGTCTAAGAATGCCCCATGTAAAAATATTCTCCATTTTAACGAAGCCTCGTGACGTGAAAGTTCGTTAAAAATTTAACAGCTTCAAGATTAAATATGTTACAATATTGACCGTAAAAACGTGTTTCTAAATTCTAACACGTGTTCGCTTTAGCTGTCTGAAGAAGAAAATAGATAATTAGTTCAGCATTAAATGTACTTTCAAATTTTATTATCACTGAAATCATTTCATTAGAGAAAATAAAATAGTCATCAAAGCGAGTAAGTTCTCTTTTTGTCAATACCTATAACATCGAACGACTTTTAATCTTATTATTTCTGCCAACTTATCATACAGATTTCTAGCACATATAAAGATGCAAACAAGCAGAAAGTAAAATCATCACTCGCTTGATACTAGAGGTATTGAATATAAGAAAGTTTCTGGCTTTGATGATGGATTTTGCTTACTCTTATGACATGATTTTAGTGATAATAAAATTTTATTATACATCGAATTTGAAAGTACGTTCAATATTGAACTAATTAGCTGTTTTTTTTCTTCAGACGAATGAAGCTTAGAAAGATAGCGATCATTGAAGAAAGCTCATTATACATGCGATCAACCAAACTGTAAAGAAAACTTTGATGAATCTTATATATATCAACATACCTATTGAATCAATATTCGGATTCTTTTCTTTCTTCAAACTATTTTAAGTATATAAATATGCATAAAAGAAAATAAATATATATATTTTCTGCATATATTCTCTCTCTATTCTATTACCAAGATCACAAATAAAACAACCACGCTGATTGAAATTTACTTTTCGAATGCTCTACGCTCGTTTCACTATCAATAATTTAAAGAAAATGTTTGTGTATACTACATAAGCACGTTCACTGTATCTGATGCATGTTTTTGTAATAAAAACAGTGTGAAGAGATTCACATCAATGATGAAACGATATATGTGAAATTAATTGAAAACTAGGAGGAGAAACTAAAAGTATTATTCAACTCAATAAACTTCGGTCCCTTACATTAGACATGATATCAGTTTACGTATTTCATAGAGATTAACAAGGCATGTTTCTCATATTAGATGTATTGTGAATCTATGACTGGCAAAGTCAACTATTTTCAACACAATAATGAACTATCCTCAAAACTATGGAGTCAAACTAAATAAAAGAAAACCTCAACGTTTGACAAAAGATAATTCTTTTGCTAAACTATCCTAGCATATTTTCCATCTTTACCAATATCTCTTCTCTATTAACGATGGAAATTCATTAAAAACCAATTGTATGATCACAAGTGCTCGTAAAGATAACTGATCTCAAGACTTCTAGCACTAATACTATCTATTATTCCACCATTAGCATATATATATATATGTTTATTGTTTTCTTTTTATGTGAATAAGATGTTCTAATATTAATTCCGTTAAAATCATAGAAATTGTACCATGAAAACTAATGTTTCAAATAACGTCATTCATACTAATGACAAGCATTGCTCTACATAGATGCAACGCGTGGTGCAGTCATAAAGAGAGTGATAATTATGAGTTCGATGAAACTTAACATAATTCGATGAAGTTTGTGAAAAAATAAAGCACTGTTTTTCTGAATTCAGAAGTATAAAGAAAAGTGTTCTATCGCAGACTATTCTCAAAATACGAGTCAAAGTATATCGTAGATGGTGATCGTGCTGAAAATATCTCATAAACACATCAAGATCAGAGATTGATTCGAATATAATTACTATCAAAAAGTTAGTTTTGATTTCTTGTTAAAATTTTAGTATGCTCGATATATTCGTCATTGTTCATATGTTATCACAGACTAATATTTCCCATACATACTGCGTTTTCAGTTGGTGATGAGATGCGAATTATGACGAATTTGTCCAACGCATTGAAGCTTTTAAGGTCTCCCCTCAAAAATCGATCTCAGTCCAGGAATATTCAAAGGACCTGAAATTTGGTGGACATGCTGGAGCTAGAGTGAGAAAGCTATGATAAAATTTTCAGTCCTAAATCATACTTTTCAAGAGGAATATTGACCAAACACGGGTGAACAATAGGTCATTTGGCAACCCAAATTTCTCCGTCCAGATTCATGGCCATTTGTTTTTAAATACTCACTTTTTAAGCACAAACAAGAGATCAAAAGTTCAATGACTGAAAAACCCTCTGAAAATTGGCGCCAATTTTTATCGGTATCTATATATATATAATAAAAAGAAGGCCTACTTAGAAAAACGGTCCTCCTCATACCCTATATCTTGACATGCTCTTTCAAACAAAAAAAATTAAATATATAGTATGAGCTTAGACAGAGAAGTTTTCGATGCGCAATCAGACAACTACAAACCGAGAAAAAACGAAAACGATTTTCGGTTTTTTAGTAGAAACAGCTTATTTTTCAAAATAGGGGATAACGAAACTCTTCACAAAATTTTGTCCTTTATGAAAGACCAGACCACGGCTATCTTCCTATGCATTTATCTTAATTTTGACTATTCTAATGAAAAGTGACTTTTCTTGAGGGGAAAGACCTTATGGGTTATCAAAACGAAACTTTTAATATTTATCATATTTGGGTTCGTTTCTGATCAAATGATATTTCCGAGATATGTTCAAAACTATCGTCCTCTATAAATCACTTTGCTTTATATAAAGCATGTTAAAGTATTTAACTCGTGAAAACAGATGCTAAACTTAAACACTTAATCAATTAAATTTCGTTAACTTAGCAATATTAATGAAAACGTGTTAATAATCTTAACACTTCACTCATTCACGACGGGTATCCCATATATAGGACGACAAGATTTTTTATTACATGCCGATGTCAAATTGACTTTAAAGTATAATTTAATGCGAGTATCTAAGGATCTCTGTCTATTATAAGGACAGAGAACCTAAGGTTGTTTGAAGTTTTGTAGCAAAGACGCATTTTTAATGCATAACATTCAACGTCCACCTCCCATTTGTCGAAGAACTTTTGAAAAAAGTAATTTGTTAGTCTTGTATGGCTTGTACTTGTCCATCATATCACCTTTCTCCCCTCTGGCACTGTTATCGTATGGCACTACCATACATGCGTATTCTATCTATATTTACTTTCGTTCGGTTGGCAGGCATAATATTGAAACACTCTTAGCAAAAGTTATATTATACAGAGTAGAGATCATCGGTTCCTAGGATTTTCAACGATGGAAAAGATTGTTTTTAGTTCCGAACGCGCAAGCTTTTGACAGACTGTAATAAAAACGATTTTTTCATTAAGTAAAAACAAGTTTTCCACAGAAAAACCCCGCCGTGAATAGGTTAAAAACGAAAGCATTATTTATCGAAGATTAAAAGCTGAAATTTCGTTAAATTAGAAAGAAACTTATGAAAATGCGTTAATTATATTAACGCGTGAAAATAACTGCTATGTAAAACGAAGGATAGCAAGATGATATTTGTTAAAAGTCAAATCACACATGACAATTCGCTAAAAAACTTTATGCGTTTTGACGGATGCTCAGAGTTTAATGAAACTTAATGATATTTTTCTCACGAAAACCTGTTTAAATGTCATTTTACGTCAATTTTGGCGTGAAGTTTAGCAAAAAACGCCGTTAAATGTCTTTTTATTTTTATATAGAACCAACTCTATGTACCATCGAATTTCATTGATGAGAATATATTTCTGATGACGATCATTATTGTTTTCTCTTAGATACGTCACTGGTCATACAATCCGGATCTGTAGAAGCTCTATGGAATACATTTGCAGGTGGCATGAGTTACATAGCTACGGAAAATTCATCAGGTGCTGGAACTTATTATATCGGCCAGGGACCTACTAATTTATTTGATAATAAAACTACTTCAAAATATACTAGTCGAGGCAATTCAAGTTCAGGAAGCAATGCAATTGCTGGTCTTAATACGGGTTTCCATGTTACTATCGCTCGATGTCAACCTACATTGAGTCAATTTCGTTTCGCCACTGGTGACACTGGAGCTGAAAGAGATCCAATCATGATTACTGTTGAAGGAACCAACTGTCTTACTTTGATTAATTGCACTAGTTGGACTCTTCTTTATAATGATACTAGTGGTTTAGAAAATGTCTTGGATCGGTCTACCTATGGATCATATAAGTCGATTCCATCACCTCAAAGCTTCGCTAGTTATCGTTTTCTAGTCACTTCTAAACGCAATGCTACCAACAGCATCTTTGTTTCGTACAGCGAAGTTGAACTCTATGGCTATTAATGAATAAACTTATATGTCACAAGACTTTCATTGGTATTGCGAAGAATTCTAACTATAACCGTCCCTATTTTGATGCACTGGCAAATTCTTTTTATTTATGCTTTGTATTTTTTTCTCTGCGCCATTACCTATATCTTCATCCTATGCTTTTGTATATCCAAATAAAATAATCTTCATTGAATATTCATTCGATCATTTCCAATCTTGTTAGTAATGAAATGATCGGAAGCATCTCTTTCAACCGATTGAAATGCATGGAAAAACAAACTCTGAAATGATCGACTAGTGAAAGTCTCATATATAAAAGAAAAACATTGAATTCTTATCATTAGTTCATCGTTTGAAATCGTCTTCTGCACAATTTAAAACGATCTATTTGACTATTAAGTATGCATTGCTATCAATTGCTACTTGGATATGTTTTACGGTAGCTAGATGACTAGTTGATAGCATAGACTCCTATCAGATCTGTCGTTTTGTCAAGCGATAGAAACAATATAAGAAGTTTCTTGAAGTATTTTTCGCCATACAGTAATGTAGACGAATCAACGTAGTAGTTATACTACTGCATATCATGATATCGTCTGGCAACGCTTTTTGATTTCGATGTGTCTGAGAACTTTTCACAGCAAATATATGGTGATTTGAGCGTCGGATTTGAGAATTCTCATCAGTTTGATAGGATCGATTCATTTCCTACTCTATTGTATGTTGACTTCGATTGGTATAACTTCGAAGTCGTTTGTCTCTGCCTCTCTGAAACATAGACATATTATGTTACCTGCGGAAAAACTTTTAAAGATCCCAAAAATTTCCCAATGTTGTGATTGTTGAAAGAATGAAAGAGATTAATTGATACTTATAATTATGCGAAGTATCAATCAATAAATATTGCCAATGACTCATATGTTCAAATAATTCATATCAATCATTGGATAATCGATCTTGCAATCATTTTTGGCGGAAGAGAAATGAACTTGAAAGAAAGAGTGTGGGTGTGAGTGGAAATGCATTCCCATCGACAACCACACCCTCATAGTACCATCAGACTCAAAATCAAAATCTGCATTCAGCACAATCAATTAGAACACCAGTACAGACACATAGAAGAATACAGACAGAAAATATCGGATATGGCACTAACTTTACTGACGTCAAGGATATATCCTTTGTTTCCAATCACGAGACAAAGGAAGAAAAAAAAAGAATAGTTGACCTCTGATCACTAAAATTTGATCCATGTCGTACACTTTTACACAGCACTTGAAGAAAGGTACAGGTGAATTAAGAAATCCAAATCTGATCAATGCAATACATAAAACTGATGAAACTTTGTGTATGTGATAATCTGTTCGAGACTTTCATGTGTAGGAAATTTAAAGTTGAAATTTCGGAATCTAATTTTTTTCGAAAACTAGACTTCTACATGATGAATCTAATAAGAATTTACTACCATAGTCAAATCAAAGCAAGACCAGAAAATCTTTACGGTTTTCCACTACTTTAGTAATCTCCTACATATTGATGAAACATGGAGGCAACCGGCGCGGATCACTTTGAAATGTTCCTGTGTAAGCTAAAATTCAAAAGAATCGAAATCTATAAACAGTTTTCAAATATATACTATTGGGACAAGAGCAAATTTTCAAAAAACAAAAAAAGTTTTTTTTCGATCAAGTCTGTTTTTATCAAAATACAAAAGCGAAAATTTAATCAGTTGTGTAGATCAGTCGATTAAGTCTTTCATTAATGTTTTTCTCTCATCTCAATAAGTTTAAGTCAAAATAAATAAAAAATTGTCTATGCATTGCTGTAAAGAATAGTCAAATCTAAATAGACAATTATTGTCGAAATATGTTTTGTCAAGACTTTTTACACGTTAGTTTTATTTAAAATCTTTATTTTTCAAATCTAAATTTGATTGTTTTATTTATCTCTGATGATTATTTCGATAACATTAATCGATATCGATTGGTTTATTTTCAATTGCAAGACAAATAGACTTTTAATTATTGAAAATTCATCGAAATGACCTGAAAAAATTCAATGAAAATATCTTTCAACTTCCATTAAATCGATCAATGATTTAATTCATATAGTGATTGAGATCGTTCTCTTGGAAATTTTATTTTCTTCAAAAATTTCTGGCCAACATGAAACTAAATAGATAAAAAATTGAACAAACATTTTTAGTCTTAAAAAAATAAGAATCAAGAATAGACTCATTCTAATACTAAATTCGCAAACATAAAAATGCAGGTTCAACAATTTCATTGTTAAATGTTAATTTATATGAAAATAAAAAACTGGACATTTTATAGTTAAATATTTTCCATGAAAATAGCTGTTTCGTTTTTGTTTTACTTGTAAAAAGAAAAGATTTCAACATAAAACTTTTCAAACAAAATCCTTTTTATATTATATTAAACGACAATAATTTTCTTCTTCAAATATTGTACCGTTTATTAAAAGTAAAATGAAGTAATAAATACACAGTTATGCAGAGAAAGATTAAAACTATAATCGAAAACGAAAATAGTTCAAATCGCATCAACATCATAAAATGTTGTGGTTGTTTCATTGATAATGACTAAATATTTTACATTTTTGTTGCAAAAATAAAATATGCTAGTTAAGGCTGAAGCGAGTTATTATTTTCTAGAGATTTATATGGTTTCATATAATTTGACAAACTATACAAAAATATGCATATCACAAATATTCTGATTTTATCTTCAATACAAAACATGAATGAAAGCAGAAAGTATAAACTGAACTAAAACTTATCTACTGTTCTGTCTATTCATGTAGCTAGGAAAGGTTATAGTCAACTTCAGTATGTTATACTACATCTCGAAACATCAATTATCAGTTGATTGAACTAATGTTATTGAAAGTTAAGCATACTCTCTCGTGCAACGTGTAAGAGATTTTGATTACTGTGTCTGGTTTTCTCCATGTTTTGTATTGGATATAGAATAAGAAAGTTTCCGATATTCATATTCTTGTTATTAGAGTGCGGGTGTGGGTATGTAAGTGTGAGTGTGAATTATTACTGCTACCATATCTTCTCCCACACGGTTTGTTCGCTAACTTACTGCAACAGAGATTGATTATTTCGTACCAAAATATCGCCAGTAACTTTCACATCATGTGCAATTTGTGAGATATACATCGATCCGATAAATGAATATGTGACTCTCTCCATAAAACACTTGGAATCATATACGATTCATTCATCACTATCTACGATTCGAAGCTGATTTTTTTCGTTGTATCATTTCGTATGATAGCGTCATGTGATTACTGAACAAACAACTTTTTCTCCCGTGGAACTGGTACAAATCATAAAATGATAAACATGAATTGCATTAAATGACTGCTTTTTCTTCCATTACGAACATTGACCACATCATTTAGGATAAATAAATCGTTAACTCGATGTCTTTCAAAACTGGGTAGACATCGCAAACAGTAATCCTTACAAGTTATACGAACATCGCATACACAAAATGATGAAAGTTTCTAGAGGAATTCATTAACTTGCAACGAATGAATTTCCATTGTCTTAATAAAGCAATCATGCATCAACTCGGATCTTTCACTATAAAATATTTTCGCTATCAATCGTGAGTTTTTATCACAAATATATAATCGTATCGTGCAGTCAATCAATTATCCCGTATAATTGAATCAATGAGGTCAACAGTTGCTTGGACACCCGATCTGTTTTTTACACATTTTGACTAAATTGTTTGTGACGATGGGGCTATGTATCGATTTGATTTGTCCATCAGCTGTATGAAAGATTCTCGACTATGCCAGGAATTTCGATCGTTGTTAATACTAAGATGTTTACTTTTCAATATTCTTGAGGATTAGCTACGTGCCAATATGATCGATAAGCGCCTACATTATGGCTTAGGAAAACGATAAATATCTTACACTTGCTTAACAAGAGCATCAATCACTAGAGTCTCCAAATATTTGGTCGACAGAACAGATTTTCTGATTTGTCATGCTTTACTAAATGACTGTTGATTCAGCTTTTCTTCTGAATTGAACGAATTATTTATTTAATATAGTTGTTTAAAAAGCGAAGCACTCTTACAATATATGTTAGTGTCAAATATTTAATCTTTTACTTATAGAAAATTCAACTTTACATGTCAAAAATGAAGCAGAAGCCTCTAAAAAAAAGCCTGGCAGTCCTTTCTCATTGAATGACACTTGATAGGATTATCATTCAATGAAACCTATGAACGATCGTAAAATGAAATACTCAATTGTACTACAGTTTAGACGAAGCTGATATCAATATGAATACATTTTCGATCTTTATTTCAGGTACAATTAGATTGTTTTTCTTTTGAAAATAGCATCGCATTGGAGAGAAACAATAGCGGAGTGACCAGAAAGTGCTTTTTAGTCTTGACTTATACTTTTGACAAACTTGATGTAAAAGTTTATCTATTTGACCAAGATGAGTTTTGTGAAAAAAAATCAAGTGATACTATACTACTAAGAAAATTTTAATTTCGAGAAAAAGTATTTTGTAATCGATTAGAAATTCTTGTTCGTAACCCATATTTGAATTGCATGATAATGCGAATGTCAGGTATAATCTTCTGACCGGATTCCATCTCAAAGTTGCATCGTTGAACTAGTAATGCTAGTATAACTTCGGCTTCAATTAGTGCAAAGTTCTGACCAATACAAT